TATGCATAGCCAAGGCCCAGCAAGCAGAATGTGCCTTGGGCTTGGCATAACAATAATCCTTTGTGCTCTGGAATGATCTCACTCTCTGGCAAAGTGCACTGCTTAGACCAGCACCAAGTGTTCTCTAACGGACTTGGCCTCCTCTATGTCCCAGTGCCATCCATCACATATTCACCATCCCTGTTCTCTGTCACTGACAGGTACTGCACTCCTGTTCCCATCACAGAATTCTGATTCTGCATTCCATAAGCAATCATGAGACCCAAGATTCTAGACAATACTGTTCGCACAGGACCCATAGGAACAGTAACTCAAGACCTAAAAATGATTATGTCATGGTCCAGCCCACTAGTGGTTTTTATATATGTAAAACCTGCCTTTGGTCCAGCATGTTAAGCGCTCCTTCTTGGGGGTGGGGGTTCAATTTGCAAACTTTGTTTTCCTCACTCTGAAATTAATTAAACTTTTGTTTGTGTCCTGACTCTCCTGTCTCTAGCCTGCTCTGTTTTGGCTCCAGGTTAGAGGCTGGTTCTGGTCTGGTTGACATTAACTGGTGTCAGAAGTGGGACTGGACATAGAACAGGGCCAAATGGATCTTCTGGTACCCGTGGGAGTAAACTAGGTGCCACTGGAGAGTTATTTTTCTAGAGTCTTACCAACCTCGTCCCGCCCCCACCCCCAGCCTGCAGTCTGGTGAGTCTTCTGTCCTTTGTTCCTGCTCCAATCCAGCTCAGCCTGGGATTGAGCTTGGCTTTCTTTATGAGGAAAACTCCAGGGCCCCTTTCTGGACCACTCTGGTGAGGTACACCTCTGAACCGCAGGATCTTTTTTTCTGATCTGTGTGCCTCAGTAAAATGCCTGTCTGGCTATGTACTGCATCCTCTTCTTTTTTTCTCACTTAAACTGATAAAATCATGTCTAGCTATGGACTATGTGCTCTGCTTCTTTTTTTATTTGTATCTGTCTTGTCTGTGTCTTTTTAAAATGCAGAATGTCTGTGTCGTGTTTGTCCTGTGAGCTAGATTCTGTTACCTTGAAAGATTTAAAATGCAGCCAGCCAGAAAAAAACTTCCTAAGGGCTGCAGCTAGAGTACACTGGGAAAGATTAATGAACTTTCAGTTGTCTCAGGAAGGAGGGCTAACTCCCACCTTAGGCTTTCCATAGGAGATTAGGTTATCAGAAAAGAGGAAAAGCTGATAAGACACTTTTTTCCTCCGTTATGTGGCCAAGTTGAGACTACAGAAATACAGTTAGTTGGGTGAAGGAAAAGGAGAGATGGGGAGAAAACTGGAACTCAAAATCTTATGGAACTAAATGTTGAAAACTAAAAATAAATAAATTTTAAAAAAAGAAATAACTTAGATAATCAAAGCTGTAGAACCACTAAACCCATCTTAGCAGTCGCTGGAAGTTTTGAGATTAATCATTAAGGAGTTTAGCAATGTCATTTTTAAATTGCAAGAGAGAACTCCTGAGACTTTGGGGTAATTCCAGGAACTCATCCCCTTCTGAAACATCTTAATAAGTTTTGGAGTATCACTCTATAAAATTTATTTTAAGAAAAAAATAAGGATTAAATATTGTAATAGTTTTTAAAAGTTTTAAAAGTTGAAAAGACTAATGGCATCATTGCTCCAGGTCAGTAAATGAAAGCTAGTTGGTAGAAATCCCAGAAATGAAGAGTGGGGGAAAAAATAGGTAAACAATATAGCAACCTCTTGTTAACCTCTCCTTTACTTTTCAGTTTTTATCCTATTTTGTTATACCTCATGTCTGTTAACCCCTCTCATCTCAAATCAGATTAAGAAAAGAGAATACTAGAGAACTGTAGGGAAACTTGAATTATAGTGTGCCCCACTAGCCGGGGGGTAGTAGCCACAGCAGGGCCCCACAATGGCAGTTGCCCCAGTAGCCCTGTGCCCCGGGTATCTTTCAACCCAGCCCTCTAGGACATCCTGCCCACCCTGCCCCAGCAGCTGAAAGTGGCTCCAGCCCCAGCAATACCTGCAGCTGTAGGGAGAAGTGAGAAGGTGGCCCCATGGCCAGTATTCCCTGAGCCATGCCACCTGGAACTACCACCAATGGGGAGATCCTGGCACCGGCCACCCCAGCAATATGAGGTGGTGGAGCCAGCCAGCCCCTACCCTTCTCTGTTTCAGTTGCAAAAACTTATTAGAGGTATAATTTATGGCAAGTTATTTTGCCTCTGATTGCCTCAGTTTCCTGATTTGTAAAGAGAAAAATAATAATGGTTGTTGTGATATCAACATGATATAATGATTGAAAAGTGTTTAACACAGTGACTGGCATATGCTGAGCACTACATTATTATTATTTCTCTAATTGAATGTAATTGTTTTATATCTGATAACTTCAAAGTGATTTTAAAATGCCAACAGTAATAACATCAATGGTTTTTATATGTGATAATTTGGAAATGCAATTGATGTCATCTGAAGTTTATTGTTCATGTTATTATTGTATTGTATTTCTAAATTTATGTTGTGAAATTTGAGAGACCATTGTAAAACAGAAACATTGTTAGACAAAGCGATTTTTAATCTGGATGTTGTTACATATGAATTGGGCTTTTAAAAGGATGTGAAAAAAATTGGATATTTGAAAGCTCTTGAATATTTAATGAGGTAGATTTATTTATAAAACAGGTACTACTACTACTACTACTACTAATTACATTTACCATAATAACAAATTTCCACTTGAAATCTCGGCTGTTATGAAAGTGTATAATGTGGTTTTAAAACGTAGCTTCAACATATTAATGATGAATCAACTATTAGGCATTTTCTGTATGTCTAAAGCCCCATAATATGGGCAGTCATATTTTATAAGTAAAGGATTAATGCAATGTTAACTATTAGGGAAACATGAGGAAAAATATCCAAGCTCTAATTTGAGGTTAGGGAAGTTTTGCTATTTAAGGTAAAAATTCCTGGAATTGTAAAGTTGCTGTTGTTTTGAACTCTGATTATCAGGATAATTATCTGAACTGTCATAAAGCTAATAGTAGAAAATGGCACGTGCAGAAGTCTGAGAACTGCTTAAAGGTAGATGTTAGTGCCTGGCAAAGGTTGCGACCTAGGTAGGGCACAATGCCGGTAGGATCCTCCTGACTCTATTTCCCCATTGTGCTATTTCCTTGCTGAAAAGGAAAATTCCCCACCTGGTTAATTCTAAACCTTGCCTTTATCACTCTGTGACTATACGATTGGATGTCAAATACAACTCATGCCAGGAATCAAACAGGAGTTTAGGGAATTTTTTTTTTCCAACAGAGCTAAGGCAGTTTTTTCCCTCTGTTATGATATAATTATATTCCTCTTTTTCCTTTTATAACAAATTTCTATAATCAAGAAGTTTTGTAAGCACAACACTAAATCTATTAAATTGATACTGGAACATCTCTGAGTTATTATAATAGGATTCAAGTATGAACATCTCATAATTTTAACTTAGGGATTATATCCTCCAAAGCAGGAAATGATTTGACAAGGTAATAAGACAAAGATGTAATATAAAAGTTTTTTTAAATTAATTGGAATAGTAAATTGAGAAAAGCAACAGGATTAATGTTTTCTCTAAGAACTATACACAAATGTATATGATTGGCTTCCAAATTTATCTATCATGGAAATTCAGGCTTTGAGTATGTTTTGGTAATAAGTTCTAAGGATTTATTAAAGATTAATTGGATTTTACACATAAATTATATTGATAATAGAACAGAACAGATAATAAAGTATCTGTCTGATAATTTTAAAAGGCAGAAGAACACGCCATAAATGAGCTTCCTAAGAAAAAAGCGCTAGAACCAGACAGATTTACAAATGAATTCTATCAAACATTATGTCAAGTACAGGATTTGGGTAAAGATAGAGACAGCAAATAACATATAAACAGAAATGCTCTGAAGTTTCAAAACTGGAGAACCAAATTTAGGTGACTGTATTAGATTAGGTCAGAACTTCTAGATTTGGAACCAGAAAAACAAAGCCCATTTTTGAGTAAGAACAAAGAATAAAACATATTATCCAAGAAAAGGTATCTAGGGACCAGATAACCACATGAAACATCTGGGACTATCTTTTTTATCCTTCTTGTTCCCCTAACCAACTGTTCCTGCCTGCTTAGCTCCAGCCTCTGCAGGTCAGGAGGCTCTTACTTGCTCTGTTCTGGCTTTGGCCTCCTCTGCAGGCTAAAAGAGTGTTTGGTTAGTTTGTGCCTCTGTTAGATGGGACTTGATATTAATGTTTAAGTTTTCTTGGTTACCTTATTGACATGTAAATTTCCCTTCTCAGAACCAGTCCATTGTGAGCCCTCTAAGTAATGTGATCTCTACCTGATTTTATGTAATTATGTAATTATGGGAATTGTGAGAAAAACTTTATTGCACTGTTTAAACTTGGATCACCTGAAGTAAGCCCCTGCTCCTCAGTGGATGGACCCACAAGCCACCAACATCCAGATGAGACAGCTGTCCCAAGATTCCAGACTATGGACTGAATCTACTGTCTTAATTTTTTCTCTCCCCTTTTGTTATGTGCCCAACTACTAAGACCCTGATTCAAGTGTGTGTTGGCATTTTCTCATTATGACATTCTTGCCCTCCTGCCCTTTAGCAATAAATTACCTGGGACACACTTCCCCAAAAGGTCTCAAAAGGAACCAAACCTCCTGGGCAATATCCCATGGCATATACCTGCCTCGCCTTTATTGACCATAAGGGTAGCAGTTCTTTCAGACCCCCTCCCTTTGGCCAAAAGGGGGAAAGGTCAAAATATTTTGGAGATACCTAGTTTTGCAGAGCTAAGGCCTAGCAAGCAGGCTGTGACCTGAGATCAGAACAACAATAATCCCTTGCGCTCTGGCAAAGTATATTGCTTGGACCAGCACCAGGTGTTCACCGAGAGATTTAGCAACCCTATTTCCCAGTGCCATCCATCACATATTCACCATCCCTGTTCTCTGTCACTGACAGGTACTGCACTCCTGTTCCCACTACAGAATTGATTCTGCACTCCATAAGCAATCACAAGACCCAAGACTTGAGACAATACTGTTCACACAGGACCCATGTGAACAGTAACTCAAGACCTAAAAATGATTATGTCATGGTCCAGCCCACTAGTGGTTTTTATATATGTAAAACCTGCCTTTGGTCCAGCATGTTAAGCCCTCCTTCTTGGGGATCGGGGAGGGGGCGGTTTCAATTTGCAAACTTTGTTTTCCTCACTCTAAAATTAATTAAACTTTTGTTTGTGTCCTGACTCTCCCGTCTCTAGCCTGCTCTGTTTTGGCATCCCCAGGTTAGAGGCTGACTCTGGTCTAGTCTATACCTTATTAGATGTTTGACCCTGTCAAGTTATTTGACTTATTACAGCCTCAGTCCCCTCATCTGGAAAAGGGGGATAAAAGTAGCATTTACTTCACAATCAAATGTGATAATATATGCAAAACATTTTGCAAACCTTAAAGAGCTCCATAAATGTTATCTATTTTTCTAAGAGGTTTCAAGACATTATTTCAAGTATTCTCTTGCTGTTTACAATATCAATTTACTTCTTGAAACTTTTCTTTATAGATATTACAAAGATGAATTTTAGTTAGGCCCCAAATTATAAATTATTAGTCATTCCTAATCAGCAGAGTTCCTAAAGATTCAATAGTTTATATTGCCAGGTTATTCTCATAATTAAAATATGATCTGACAACTAGCAGCAAACAGATGCCTTAGCTTAGTCATGTGTTTCTAAAAAGAGGGAGTACATCTGTCCTCTTGTCACCTAATAGATGGGCAGAGGAGAAGGCATGTTAGTTAAGTAGTTTTCCCTGAGAACTGGTAATGATAACCAAGCTGCTTGTACATCTCCTATTAGGTCACAAGCCAGAAGGCAAATGTAGCTCAACAGTTTACTTTCATGCCTTGAGCACTCTGGGCCTATGCCTAGAATTTTAAATGCAGTAGCTGGCTGCTGTCTTCCAGAAGATGATATTTTATTCAGAAAGCACCAGTAAAGACAGGAAAGTGTCTCAGAGGTACGTTGATACTCCTGCGCCCTGTGCTACTATTAAAATACTCATTTAAAATTTAATATTTTGTCACATGGTCCTTTACTGTCCAGAACAAGTGGCTAAAATATCCTTATGTGATTTGGTGTAGAAGCTACTATAGTTGATTCACTGTTTGAGAAAGGAAAAAAAAATCTTTGTAAAGGCGGATTAGTTGCTACTGCACATTAAAAAAGAGAAAAATTATTCAATCCATTATGAGCAAACCCCAGAATAGTGTTGGTAGATAAATTTATATATTCATCTAGTTAAAAAGACATACATAGTTATAAAAATGTACCAGAAAAAAATATTAAGCTACCTTATCATGAAAACTGTTAAACATTTCATGCAATGATTAGTATGGAACTGAAAGGCAGATAATATTATTCATACTTAAAATATGCTTCACAGAAATTATTTTATTTTAAATTAATTTTTCAAGCACTGAACTATGATAAGAAATGAACTCTCTCAATTCTAGAACAGTGTGCTTGTCACTAATCAGTACTTAAGCATTCAGTTACCATAACAACATAATACAATCTTTATCATTACCATAAATCTAACAGTTCTAAAAATAGTTTATTTCAACATTCAGTTTCTGTGATTTGAAAAATAGAGCTTTATTATAGAATCACAGCTAAGAGGGCAACTTAATGCTAATGAGAAGGAAATAAAGAAGTCAAAAGACTGGTTCAAATCTAGGCTCTGCCATTTACTTTTTGTGAGTCTTTGGGCAAGTCACCTGGGCCTCAGTTTCTTTATCTGTAAAATGAAGACAGACTAAATTATATCTTAAAGTCTCTTCCAGTGCTCAATTCTATGCTAAATGACCAACAACTACAAAATTATCTGAGAGGGATGTCAAAAGTGATGCTAAAGTCCTATCCATGGGCAAGAATATTCTCTAAAACATTCCTGATGGTTAGTATGTAGCCTCTAAAATTTTAAGCCATAGAGTACTCATTACTTTATGAAGCAGCCTACGAATATTAAATGGTCTGTTTACTAAGTCCTTGGTTACAGAAAATGCATTTATTCCTTTTTACTGTCAATATAAAAATGATCACACTGGATTAAACCAGCAGTTCATTCAGCCCAATCTTTCATCTTTTTTAGTGAGCAAGGGGATATTTTTTGGGAGACTTACCAAATGCCTTCTATAATATAAACTTCAAAAGTTAAGATCATATTCTGAACATCTCTTATTTCCCTTTATACCACATGATGTGAGAAGAAAAGAAAGCAAAAGAGAGTCCCTGATGGAATCAGGGACAAACTCGGTATTCTGGCTGCAAACAAAGACCTTAGAGACTTCATCCACTCACACAAAAGTGAGGGCATAAGATGCGTCAAGAATGCAAAGGTTTTGCCTAAGGATCTGGAGTCACAATCTTGTTCACTAGCATTACTTTGGATAAGCTAGTTTGCTCTTCCTTTTCTTTGCTGGCCTTTGCTGACTCTGGACTTTACTTGCCTACTTGGATCCACAGACTTTCTGGACTTTTGACTTGGCTCTTCTACACGAACCCATAGTACCCACCAGGTCTTTACTGGATCACATAGACTTTAGAATCTAAAGTTTAGATATTGCTTCCCTGCCTGAATTTGTAGTATTCATTTGTTCTTCTAAATAGCCTGACCTCAACCCACTGTCATGTCAAGTTAAACCAATAATCACTAAGCACTTACTATGTACCTAAGCGCTAAGAGCACTCTCTCTCTCTCTCTCTCTCTCTCTCTCTCTCTCTCTCTCTCTCTCTCTCTCTCTCTCTCACTAATAGTGGTAGAGAGCAAGAAAGGCTTCTTGCAGTAGGTAAGGTTTGAGCTTAGTCTTGAAGGAAGCCAGAGAATTCAAGAGAGAGAGATAAGAAGAGAAAGTATTACAGACATGGGTGAATAGGCACTAAAAGGATAAGGTGTTGGAAGATGCAATGTCACGTGTGAGCAACAAGAAGGCCTGTGTTACTGGACTGTAAAATATGTAAAAAAGAATAAATTGTAAGAAGATTGGAAAACTAAAAAGAGACCAGGTTGTGAAGCATTTTAAAAGCCAAAGATTTAAAATTTGATCCTAGAGGTAACTGGGAATCATTGGAGTTTACTAATTAGGGGAAGGACAAAGTCAGACCTACACTCATTTTGTCAACCCAGTGAAGGAAGCCTTGGAATACAGAAATATTTAAGGCAGAGAGCCCAACCAGAAGACTTGCAATATTGCAGGTGTGAGGTAATGAGGGCCTGGTTCAGCATGGCTATCAGAGGAGACAAGGGGATGCATATTAAAGATATTGTGAAGGATGAAACAACAGGACTTGCCAACAGGTTGCATATGAGAGGTGAGTGAGAATGAGGAATAAAGGATAACATCAGGATTGTGAGTTTGAGTAACAAGAGGACTGCAGTGCCCTTGACAGAAAGAGAGAATTTGGGAAGAGGGTAGAGCTTGGTCTGTCTAGAACTCATCTCCACCTCCTGCTTAACTAGATTCTCAGTACTGATACTTCTTGGCCCACTTGTTGTTTCAGGGGCACTTACACCCTCAGTAGGATGACGGGCCTCAAAGAATATGATGGAGACAGAACTACACATGAAAGGGTTATAGGATCATAAATCTAAGGCTAGAAGGGATCTGAGAAGCCATCTAGTCTAATTCTCAAATATTTGTAATATGGCTATACAATCTTTTTTCTTTAATATGGCATAGTATATTTTTAAAGGGAAAAAATATGACTATTATACAAAGATAACTGACCAGAAAGACTTGTATCAGTTTAGGGAATATATGTAATTTGATGTCTGGCATTTTCCATCCTTTCTGCTTTCATTCACAGATTCTCTGGATGGCCCATGCAAGTAGAGAGGTGGTTAAAGGTGGTTAAAGAAATGGAAAGGGTAGAAAAGGAAGAAAGTTGTAAATGAATAAATTCATCTTCCCTTGAAAACTCAGAAAGCAGGCTCAATTTCTGGTTGAAATGATAATGCAAGAATACTGGAGGAAAGGGAAACTTGCTGAGAAAGTGCATATTTCCTTTATAGAATACGTTAAATAATCTAAGTTTTCATTCTACCAAACCTGACTAAAGAGATAGTGTGGTTTAGTGGATAAAGAACTGGCCGCAATGCCAAGAAGACCTCAATTCAAGCTCTGCCTCTGACATATCTTGGCTATGTGACTGACTAGTCATTTCATCAGTCTCTCAGTGCTTGAGGTAACTTTTTAAGACTTTCAACTTCACTCCCTATGCCACTGCAATTACAAGTCCAATTCCTATGACTAACCTCACTCTACCAAATTATGGAATTTCAAAAGTCTATTTTCCCCATTTCTACTCCAATTTCTGCAACTTCGAACTATGTCTATCCTAGTTACTTAATTCTAATTGCAAGGCTTGATATGGTCAGAGAGTGTTACTATAGGGCAACCACAAAAAAAAAGATACAGGAATAATCCACAGGAATCAAACAATGCAAATAAGCATCATCCTGGAGACCAGAACTGAAAAAAGCACTCTAAAAGTTTCAAGAGCACAACATTTTTGCTGGATTTGGAGTAAAGAAGACCTAGGTTTGAATCTAACCTCAGACACTCACTAGCTATGTGACTCTGGGCAAGTTACTTAATTTCTCTAAAGACTTATTTCTGTCATCCGTAAAATGGGGATAATAAGAGTAACTATCTTACAAGGACTGTTCTGAAGATCAAATGAGATAATAAGCAAAAAGCACTTTACAAATTTTAAAGCACTACGTAAGTATGAGGTAATAATATATCTAGCATTCATAGTACACTTTAAGTCCAAATATATATATACATATACATATATATATACACACACACACACATATGCATATACATACATATATATACACACACACGTATATATTTGATCTTCAAGTAAAATATTGTTAGAAAGGAAGAGAAATAACATATATTATATGAAAATATACAAAACTAATTTTCAATTACTAGTGAATAAATAATTTAAAAATATTATTTTTCAGTTAAAATAAACTTTTCTACCTTTTGTTTAATATACTGTATAAGTAAAAAATACATTCTAAACATATAAAAATAAGGACAATAAATATTTGTTTTCAAAGTAGGAATGGTTGTTGATCATAAAAATGTACTACTAGAAAACAGAGATGTAAAAAATCCTCATTATTCTAAAATGTTTCACATATCAAAATTAACCCTGAATTTCTCAATATATTTCTAAAACGTAACTATCACATTTTCTGCTCACAGAAGCAAAAAATCAGAGGAAAATCAGAATTATCAACTAAATTTCATTCTATAATATTTTTCAAAATGGCATTTCATTTTTCTGAATATAAAGAAAAAAGGTGAGCTCATTTGAAATTTCAGAGGAATCAATATACTTAGATTTTGTTAATGCATTTTAATTTACATTATCCGTTATGATTACAGTATTTAAATATTACATTAGCAAAGTACAAGTCCACAAAACCAAGACATTCAGAATTATAAA